GTAAGGTTTTACTGCGTTTTCTAATTTTGTTTTGTTAATTCTGTCTGTTTGAGTAAAATACCTAACGTGGGTTGTGGAGAATTCATGTTGGTCAAAGGCTACAAAAGTATTCGTTTCGTGTACATCTCTCATTATACATGCAGACCACTTGACATTCTGATCCCCGTCCCTCTTTACTTGCAAGAATCATCTTGGATAATGTTTTTATATATGAACCTTCTACTATTATTATATTACAGCCAATCAAAATATATGCTTTCTTAAATGAAATAAAATGATGGAGTCATAGAAAAAATGGTCGAATGACTGAATCTAAATTTTGATTGACAAAAAGTAAAAAATATCGAAACTATTCTGCTGCTATCAACCGTCCCCAGTCATTACGTAAATTAGCCAAAAGCATGTAGATAAGAAAAACATTCATCTTTAGAGCTCCAACTATATTTCATCTTAAGTGGTAAATACTAAAGAGACAGGGACAGGATTATTATATAATACAGGAATTCATCATCCACATGAATTGGATATTCATTCACATAATTACATAGTTGAATCCAATATCTATGTGATCATGCATTTAAAGATTTACCATCGCTTATCGTTTTTTAGTTTTCACTATCAACCTACGACTTATTCACAAAGTCTTGATTATCATCTGTACACTTTCTTTCACGATCACAAAGAATCAAAGAACATTACTTCTTCCTCCACATCTGAATCTCCCAACCCACTCCTATAGACTAGAGATTCCGATTTTGGATAGAGTTTTCGTTTCAATTACCTCCGTAGAAGGAACCGTCAGCCTCGACAGGAATATGTTACCCTTTGAATCTTTCCTGCTGTAACTCTCCATCTCATGGCTCATCACGATGGTGCATCGCCTCCACGTCTCACACATCAACTCTACCCCAAAGTACCTTAAATGATCAGAAATGCTTGTTCCCCTCACCGATCTGAAACAACAAGAGCCAAGATTTATACTGGATACTTCTTAAAACTGTCCACTATCCGAGCTAAAACATGAAACATAAGGTGTATGGTAACAATTCCTGACCACAATAGTAATCCCTAGGGTGGAAGTGGTAGTAAACAATGATCCTAAGTTTCAATTGTGGGCTGGGATTATATCATCAAGTTGTCTAAGAGTGATCAAATAGAAACTCGAAAGAGAGTTAGTTACCTGCTGCATGTAGGATCTTCACCGGTGTTGTCACAAACTTTCTCCATACCACAAATAACAGGATTCGAATAACTGAGTTCTTTCACCCACACCTGCAACCCAAGAGATACCATTACCAAATGTTACGGTAAAAAATTCTCAAAACAGTTACTCTGATGAACATCCAGTGTATTGAAGGACGCTGAGAGTAACAAAATAAAAATAGTAAAAGACATTATTACCTCTGTTGGGAAGTGGTGATATGTTTTTTGAGGGAAAAGATGGTAGTAAGGAGGCAGATGAGGAACCATATCATGGTCGTGTATGATCCGGAAGGTATTAGGCACAAGCAAACTGTAATAAGATGCAAAAGCTGCATTCCCAACACGAGGTTGCCCAAATGTCATAACCTGTACGTTTTCTTCTCCTTCATTTACCTGCAATTTATATCCGAATTGAAGTCAGTAACAGCTTTAAAGGAAGAAACATAAAAAAATAGTTCAATTTGAGGATGATTACAACTAGGTCTAGCCCACAAAAGGAAGCCATGGCTCCTCCCATTGAGTGACCAGTCACCATGATGTTGATGTTCTCCCCATATGATTTCTTCACTCGTTTTACAGCACCCAAAACCGCAGGCCGTACAGTTGTATTGTGGTAAGCGCTATAAAAGCCATGGTGCACCTGCCAATGCAAACAACTATTACAAATTTACAAGTTCCACCTTACTACATAACAAACTTGATGACAAAGACTTGACGTTAATACGTACCATTGCATCTGGCATATCAGGGTAATTTAGATCGAGCTGTTTCCAAAACAAGTCTTCGACCCAATTTTGAATGCTGCACAAGTTTTGAGTTCTTTAAGCATCAACCAAGTTTAGGCAAAGGTATAGCTTTCAGATTACAATGACGAGAGTAATACCTGTGTTCTTGAGTTCCCCGAAATGCAATAACTATAGCATTCAAATCCTTAGCCACCCCGACATATGCCTGTTGTTACATGTACAGATATGAATAAATGTTTAATGAAAAAACATCATGTCCTGGTGTAGCTTAAGATACCAGGGCAGACCTGTAGGCAGTGCTCAACATCAACTATTATCTCTATTACTTCGAAACCCTGCACCATTCTAAAGAACGTCAGAATACCTAATTGGAGCTATTAGGTTTATTGTATATACGATGGCTTCAAACCGTGATCTGTCTCAACGTATGTTATACCTTTGTCAATCCATTGCATCTTTCACAGGTCCAAGTGAAGAGTTCTGTCAAATCAGACATGTAGACCTGCATACATATGGAAACTTGATTCATCCATCTGGTTCAGGCCTTTTTGATTACGGTAGTTAAGTTGCCATGAACTTACCGCAGAAGCATACTCCACAAGCGTTATGGCGAGCGTATGGTTGTAAACAGGTCTACCATCATCATCACTCTTCAACTTGAGAACTGAAACCAGAAAAGAGAAGCTCACCATAAATACTCCTTTTTCAGTCTTAAATCATTTGCAGCCTCACATCTTATATCAACTTGTGGTACCATACAGATTTGAAACCAAGATTTTGATCTTCATGGTTCATTATGCAGCTAATACTAAACAAATCATTATAGAAGTCGCCTTTTACTCACCTCTTCCATATGAAAAGAAAAGAAGACAAGCAAAAATTGACAGCAAGAACAAGCATCTCTTTTGTCCAACTTTCTGCATCTGCAACATGTTCTGTTCATCCACCAAAATTAGGGATTAATTGAGCAAGATAAGGGCTTAATTCGGGAAAACAAAATCCAAAATTAACGAGGACTAAAGGCAAAAGCCGCAAGAGATATCAGAAACCAAGTCCTAGAAAAGAAGAAAAAATCCGACAAACCTCGGATCAAAGGAAGCGAACCAAAGCCCTGATGAACTTGTTTCAACACGAATTGAAAATTCGATCGGTGATCGGACGCTACGGTGGTTCACAAAAGTCGGTCTCGGTTGTTTCTTCTAATTTCACGTCTTTCCCTTTCTTTTCTTTTTTGACAAACCAAAGCAAAAATCCAATCCTTTTAAAATTTGGTTCGGTATAATAATCTGGTTCGTCTATAAAAGTTGGGCTTAAGGCCCAAACATTTCACTGAAATTTTCATTTAGAACTTCATAATCTAAACCTAACCCTCGAGCTTTTGTGTCTCCGATCTTCTCTTGCAGGCTGTTGTATTATCTCAGTGCTCATTGGATTTTTGTTTCTGTCGCAGTTCAACATCGCAAATCCGACTACTGGTTGCCAGAAGAAGCTCGAGATCGATGACGACCAAAAGCTGTAAGATGTTTGGTTTTCTAATACTTAAGAAGTCTTTACATTCTTACAGCTTTCGTGATTCGTTATAGATTTGGAATTTGCTCTTTTTTTTTTAATTACGTTTGGCAATTGAGTATGCATTGTGTTGATATCTGCTTTAAAGCTTTAGTAAGATTCTTTGGATGCGAACCCAGAAACGTATTTATACCTGACTGCAACGTTGAAATCTAATGTCTCCTGGATGATCTGATACATTCACAAACTAGTTCTAAATCTACAGAATCAACATCACTGATTGATTCTAATCGAGAAATGAAATTCTTTTGTTTGTTGCAGTCGTGCCTTTTACGACAAGAGGCTCTCTCAGGAAGTTAGCGGAGATGCTCTTGGCGAGGTGACTGTTTCTTCTACTCGTCTCGTGTTGTGATTTGTCTTGTGGGTTTTTCAGAATATTTAATGGAATTGTATCTTGTTATGTTGTGGCATTTGCAGGAATTCAAGGGGTATGTCTTCAAGATCATGGGAGGATGTGACAAGCAAAGTTTCCCAATGAAACAGGGAGTTCTCACTCCTGGGCGTGCCCTCCTTTTGCTTCACCGAGGTACTCCTTGCTTCAGAGGACACGGGAGGAGGACTGGAGAGAGGAGAAGAAAGTCTGTTCGTGGTTGCATTGTCAGCCCTGATCTCTCTGTCTTAACTTAGTCATTGTGAAGAAAGGTGAAAGCGATCTTCCTGGGCTTACCGACACCGAGAAGCCAAGGATGAGAGGTCCCAAGAGAGCATCAAAGATCCGCAAGCTGTTCAACCTTGGAAAGGAGGATGATGTCAGGAAGTATGTTAACACTTACCGCCGAACTTTCACAAACAAGAAGGGTAAGATAACTGAACATTTGAAATTAGTTAAAAGCCTGTGCGTTTTATACAGATTCTTCACTAAATCCGTTTCTTCATTGGGGGTTTTTCAGGTAAGAAGGTTAGCAAGGCTCCTAAGATCCAGAGGTTTGTGACTCCGTTAACTCTACAGAGGAAGAGAGCTAGAATTGCTGACAAGAAGAAGAGAATTGCCAAGGCTAACTCTAATGCAGCAGAGTACCAGAAGCTTCTTGCCTCCAGGCTTAAGGAACAGCGTGATCGCCGCCGTAGTGAGAGTTTGGCCAAGAAGAGGTCTAGGCTATCTTCCGCTCCTGCTAAGCCACTTGCTGCTTTTTTTTTTTTTTTGGTCATAGTGCCACTTGCTGCTTAAAACACCATTTTGAATGCTCTTTTCGTTTTTATGCTTTGTGTTAGTGTCAAACCTGTTTATTTTATCAAAGTTGTTGAAAGCACACTTTCACCGGTTCAAATGAGAGTCTCTGCCATTCAAAGAAGTTTGTGTGCCTATCTCGCAAGCTGTATAACCATGTTTGGATGGTAGAGAACCGCACAGGCTGCAAAACATACCACAAATGTAGCGAGTAAGAAAGCAGTTTGACGGGACCTTAATCTATGAAATTTGATTGGTCAGATTCATTTTCAACCTACAAAAGGATTAGAGGAAGACCATGTTATTCGCAGAAAACGAGCAGGGCCAAAGAGATTAGTGCCAGAATTCACAATATTGATATTGTAGAGCTTGTTATTAGAAGAACGTTTCCCATCCTGGCCCGGTGAAGGTACAACAGAACAGTGATGTGGTAAATACTTCCCAGAACAAGACACCAGAAACCTGCAATAACCATTATCTGTAAGCCGCAAGTTATTCTTTTGATGCAGACCCAAGAAACCTGCAATAAAATATTTGTTGTTTGGATGCAGATCGAGTTTAGAAACTGCAAAAGATGCAGATTGAGTTTAGAAACTGCAAAATACATGGTTCTGCTTGTTGAAGCTAGTGGAGGCTTATGGAGGAACATTGTGTTTACCATTTGCCTTGCGCTTAGCCACGTTCACATTATGGCCACAAATTTGAACCATCTATAAAAAATTCAAGGGACTATTCGTCAGTTTTGTGACTCATCTTTCCACACTTGAACCTCTTTTCAGCATTTTGCTTCTTAAACCTATTTAGACTTTAGAGGCTTTCAAAGAAACCACGTTCACATGATGCTCACGAATGTAAACACCATATGCTATGTGGTTTCTTAGACTCAGTCTGCAGCATGACAATTAAG